GAGCTCAGAGCGCCCATGAGGACTGTAGGTCATCCTGACGGTGCATTTCAGAGAAAAGAATTTAAAATCTCTCAAGATAAGTCACTGTCTTGGAAGTCAGCTCAGTGGAATCTGTATGTAGTCAATTGCTCAAAGGTGAAAGAATTTCTTTACAGTAATTGGGTAACTTAAAATACACTTTATACAACTTGGTCTGTGCTTCATTAGAGTCCTGATTCACATGACAGAGGGGACACTGAGGCACAGGAAGCGTGTTCTTCCATGTACACTTTTCATGTAGTATGAGACAGGTCAGCATCATGGTGCGGCTGGCCAAAGCCTCCGAATTCAAAAGCAGAAATCTTGTACATCCCAGAGTAGGCGTATACACAGATGACTTGCAATTACAATAAGCTGGAAAGCAGAATTTATTTTCAGCATGGAGCCATGTTGCTATTCAATTTGAATCATAATCATCGTTAGCTAACTTTTGTTGTTGCATTTTATGCTGGTGCAGGTTCTGTCCTTTAAATTAGTTTCCAGAATACTTGACAGATAAAACAAGATGTTTGCCCTCTCAAAGCTCCCTTCCTGTAAGTCAGTAATACCCCATAATATACAGAAGTACTTGTGTAGGCTGTTGACAATTTAAGACAGTTATGAGCTGAAATAATGAAATAAAACAGGGCATGAACAAAATTATGACAATTATTTAAATTGTCCTTTAGGTATCCCCAATTAAATTTCATCAAAAATATCATGTAGTATAAAAAAACTATTATTTTACCCCCGGTCCAAAGACTGGATTTTTTTCCAGGACGAAGATAGTGCTTGCCCTAAACCACTTCCAAGGTAGAATAGAGTAGTTGACATCTTTAACTTGAAGCTGTCTGTACATCTATTGTGCCATCAGGCAGGAAACACTCAAGGTCCACCAGGACTCAGGTCTGTGAGACTGCCAAGGTCTTGCAATTGGATCCAGCACAAGCAATGAGCTGGCAGGTTCTTATGGTGATGTTTATTGTGGCTCCCTATGTGTATGTCGCCTGTGTGACAGCGACAGCCATCATGGAGAACTCTTAAGCATCTTGGAGAACTCTGGCTCAAAATCAAGCAAATTAAGTTCAGTACAAACAAAGAATGTAATATCCTATTTTAAGGGGTTTTTTTCAGCTTCCTCACATTCCAACCTGGGACATCCTTAGCCCATTATTAGCGATGAAGGCAACATTTCCTGTTCTGCTTCATAGATAAATATGAATCTCAAGTATTGAAGAATCTGGAAGGGAAAGGAACAAACCAACCTGAAAATAATTAGCATGGAAGTAATTACTATTTATCATCATAGAAAATACGTGGCTGGGAAAGTACTTCATTTGAGTTGATCTCCACATCTGTGTAGCTTTTCATCTGTAACAGATCTTCCTGTAGTCTCGGAAGTGTTATTTCTTTCCCCCCCGCCCCCACTTACATATGTCCTTAAATGGATAATGGTTGTTTGATGGAGGAAGAGTAACTTTACCTCATTTAAAGGAGTGAATGAAGGCTTTCTACAAGTTGTACGCTGTTTGGGACCTTTTAGCTAATCATGAATGACTTTCTCCAAAGAGTCAAACTGCTCTAAAATCCAGCTTCTGAGCTCCAGCAGTTGAGGTGTGCATCCGCCTCCCCGCCCCACTCCTTTCTCCCCCATTTTAGCAGATCAGATTAGCAGAAACAGGTTAGGGAGCAGCTACATGCACAACGTAGGGCAGTGGAAGAGGCTCAGGGCTCAGAGAGGGCCGGGGACTTCTGAGCAGTCAGTCTAAGCAGTAACATCTTCTTATGGATTGGAGTAACACAAAAACACATCTATGCCTACATAGTTTTACTCTGTGCCAAGTGCCAAGCGTGGCAGAGGCCTGTAGCCCGGGGGAGATGATGGTTTTGCATTTGAGTAGGATGTTCCTGTTCACTGAGGACAGTTCAGAAATAGGCTTTTGGGAAAAGTAAACTAAAAGAAAACTCCACTGTCTCACTTTCAGACCTGCAACCTGCTGTGTCTGGAATCAAGTCCTCATTCTTTTTTTTGGATAGTAAATCTCAAAGTGTTTTCTAGTTCATACTGTTAAACTGAGCTTTGTGGCTAAGTGCAGCTTGTAGCTTATCTGTTACCAAATGCACAGTTATAGTTCATCATATCCACAGCTGGAGGTATTTGGGGTTATTCAGCAGACTGTACTAGAATTCAGATCTTGTCTTTTCACAGGCAAAAAACTCATACTTTTTGAAAGCCCTGACAGGAGCCACACTTTATCAGCCAGGACAGGAAAGGCCCTGTTACCTTGTGAGCACGTTGTGACCAACTGCAATTAGACACCAAGTTCAGCACTGCTACCGGATGTGTGAATGCTGACGTATTTCTTCCAGCCCTGTGCATAAAAGTTGCTTACTGGCTTCCTCATGCTGCAGTAAATCCAAGACGCTTTCCCTGCCCGTCTTTGCTCTGCTGCTGCATTACACAGCAAACAACTTGCTTGTGTCCGCCTCGATGCTGTTGAAGGAGAGGTTTAACAAGATGTATCCTCCCCCTCTATCTTCTCCAAAGCTGCTGCCTTTAATCCAGCTACTGAGAAGATTACAGTTTACGTACTGGAAAACCACAGGGTCTACACTTTCGTGGGGCTCACCCAGGACGTGAGCGTACATCTACCTTACAAAAGTGAAAGAAATTATTCTTGTGGGGAAAAAAAAGTGTGTAAAACTATTTACTACTACCTTCTGATTGTTTCATATCCCTTGCAGCTTGAATGAGAATTCATGGTCCAGCTTTCCAAGTCCACAAAATTACTTTACCTTAAACTTTGGAATTGCCCAGCTTTGTTTCTTTTTCCTCGGTCTCTTTTTCCCAAAGGTTTCTAAGATGATTTATTTGAAATACATTAAGTGACCTGTTAAAGAACTTTTTGTAAATGTATTTTCAGTTTTATGATGAAAAAAACCAACTTGAAGTGCTGATCCTCAAACCGAAAATGGAGTGTCTTCATTTTGCTACAGGAATATGAAAGATGTCGATAACAGAGAGGGTTTGGACTCCATACAAATCTTTCTGTATCAAGAAGAGGCTTTAATTAAAGAAACGAGATGAAAAGTGTGGGTTTTTTCCCTTTTGAGATGCTGGAGCTCTTATGCATTTTACAGGTTAATATACAGCCTGATGCTTCAAATATTAAGGTGAAAGCTGCCCATTAATGGCCTGTAATGAATATTTTCATTTTCTTTCCATATATGGAAACAGAATAAAAAATGAAATGTAATGAAAATTAACTGTAAGAATAACATTAATCAATCATTAAGAATAGCATTTATTAATATGACCTGGAAATGGACTATGTGCAACCTGCCACCATTTAGACCATGTCAGATACCGAACACATCTTTAGTAAAATCAGTAACAGGACATTTACAGTTACTCTCTCAACCAACATAGGAACATTTATACATTTTATCTGAGCAGTAGAAAACACTCCTCTTTGAACTGGCTCTCAATAATGTGAGATAACTGAAATCATAGGTCCACAGACACACCCCTTCCCATCCCCTCCACTCTAAAATCCGAGTTTACAAAGCAGCTATGTTTTCTGATGGTGAAGGTCTCGGTCTGATTGCTGAGCATGCGCTGGCAGAAACATCTGCTTTGGCAGATCCCACTCTTCCACAAGAGTCCACAACGATTCAGGATGTTGCAAGGAAAACCTGCCTGAAATGTAGTCAATGCAGCCTGCCCATAGTTTTCAAGGGTGTCGGGATCAAGGGTGCCCTGGTTTTAACATGCCAATCAACAGTAATACTCTTTAAGAACTCTTTGGAAACGGCGTGTCTTTTTAATTTCGAGAACGTTAATGAGAAATGAAGGCAAGCTATGTGATTACTTCTGTAACTTTTGGTTGGAAAGGCATTACTTCCAAAAGCAAAAGTTCTCAAGAATATTCTTTTCCCTTTTTTAATGTACCTACTACAAATTGATTAGAATCTCCAAAGTAAATATTTAAGTGAAGCCTTTATGTTCTTCAGCACATATAGCACAGACAGGCTAAAAAGGGACAAAGCACCAAGCAGTATCATCAAAACCTGGTCACCACTGGGGAGGAGTCTGCTGTGATGCCCCAAGGTGCACGCATGACCAGGTCCCTGTCAGCATAGATTGCACCTGAGGAGTCGGCGTTATCAGTTCAGGAACTTCTGCTTAAACACAATTTTTAACTCTGCTGGCCAAAGGTTCATTAATTCTATACATTCTAGTCTCTGCTGTTCCCAAAACAGTGTGTTCAGTGAATGAGAGCTCAGGTTGAAAAAGCAGAATTCATAGTTGAGTTTTTGCTCTTACCCTAACAAAACCTGGGTATAGTGAAGAAAGTGACCATGGGTATCCTCTCAGCTGTATAAATTGTGCTATTTCGGTGTTGCATGTAAGCGCTACAATCCCAACTGGATTTGTGACTTGCTTAGTAAAACACATTTAGAACCTTATTTTGGATTGGGCCTTAACTCAGATTTTCTTCATCCTAAAATACAGATAGTTTATGTCAAACTAATTGAGTTGCTTGCAAGAAGAAGACAAACATCTGTTGTTGTTTTTCAAACTCGCAGCAGATGCAGAAAGATGAGTTGATATGTTGGTGCAAAATTGCTCTTGTATAATTGAAGAAAATTGCTTATATGTAACCAGAAAGTACTGAAGTGATACAAGAATATATCTCACATCATCTAAATACGAAATACCTTGTTCATTTAGTTAAAAAATCTAGATAAAATGTGGTATCAGTGAAACCTGTCTTAAATGACCAATAAAAATATGCTGCTTACATTAAGTATCTTATCAGAATTATTTCTAAGAGAAAATAAGCATGACTGTATTAAGTACACTTAGGGCTAAATACTAGGCTTAAAAGAGAGAGAGCGCTTGCTCAACCTCTGTTGTTTAAGCTGAATCGGATCGGGTTTTTTGGATGGTACCTACGGTGTGTGCTGATGAGTGTCTTCTAATCAGTCTTTTTAGTCTTTCTGTAGTGCAGGATTGTGGCTGTGACCCAAATATTGAGAATGAGCATGGTTATGAAACGGATGAGAACTAAAAGGGAAATAAAAATAATCTTGTAAGCATAAATCCCCAAAAAATCAACTGCTGTCATTTTCAGAAGACACATTGTTTTGTAAACCTTCACTGGTGTACAAACAGGCTGGTTCACATCCTGCAACTCTTTTCAGTCAATTAGTTTAAATTGCCATGTTCAGGAACCCAGAAATTCTCAAAGTAAATATAGCAGAAGAACATTTAGTACTTACAAGTGACATCTGAAAATAATACGCTACAGTACCTTTAATTCTTTTGTAAGAAAATAGTACAAGTTTGAGTAGCCTCATATAAATTTATATTTACACCAAAAATTAAACTCAGAGTCGCAGCTCATGTGTCCTCTATAGCTGCGTGTGTTGTCTACAATAAAGGGATTATTCTCTGCTGCCATCTGTTATGTTTAGACTTTGAGGAGACAGGAAATACTTGTATCTTAGTATGATTTTAATGAGAGGAAATCTGACAGTTGAGAAAAAGGCAGTTTTTCAGTATCTTGATTAACTTTCAGAATTTTTTTTAAACCAAAATAAGCACAGTATCTCTACCTGTGACACCGCAATTTGAAGTATAGGTATATCTAATATCCAGTTGGTAAATTGAATATTCACAGAAATGTACACAAAACTTTGTTTCAGAAATGTGTGATGTTTGACAGTTTCATATGGGTGTATGAAACCAAGATGAACACGCCAAAGTGTTCAGTGTTAGAAGTTCACTGGCAACATTTTCCATTAGAGCCGCACAGAATCCATGTTCGCTGCCATCTCTTCCATGTTCCAAAGGGTATCGTGCTGTATTTTAAAAAGCAGCTTCAACCAGAGCCTGCTTTACTTCCAAGAGCAGGCTTTTTACTTTCATGGTGTTTTCCTCCCTTCCTTCCTCCCCTCAATATACTTCTCTTGCTTCTCATCAGTGTGAGTGCGTAGCTGAAGGTGAACCGGACGTGATAACTGACCCAGACTAAATTTCTGCGTGGGCATTATGCCAATGTTTTGGTGATCTAGTTAACTGCCTGGCCCCAAAACTCTTACTCTGGAAAAGAGAAAGCAGCAAGCAGGGGGGTGAAGATGAGTGACTGAAAAGGGGACTTCCTTTTCCAGTGAAAGAGCCACTTGAACTGCCTGTAAAACTAGAGCCTTGTTCTGCTGCAGAGGACTGCTTAAAAAAAAATAAATCCAGTCATATGTTGTTTCTGATGAAATACCAGTTTTGAACTAGAACAAGGAACCACCAAATAAAGTACAGTGCGATCTTCTTACTGTTCTTACATCCACCAAGTCTTGATGCCGAACCATTTATTGAAAAATCTGCCGTGCTCCTTGGTTCTTTCAGTTTTGTCAGGATGGTAAGAAGCTGTTCAATAAATTTGCTTTATAATGAAATCAGCTGCAAATTATATATTTTAAGCCTGTTTTTTGTGAGTTTCTTATCAGCCTACCATTTCAATTTTGGCCTGCCATAAACTTTCTCAGTGATGTGCCTAAAACTATTCATAGACTAAGCTGAACTTGAACTAGTTTTCCAGAAGAATTTTTTAATGCACAAACCCCACAAGAAGAAAAGGAAATACATTATTTGAAAAGCTATCACTCAGTTATTACAGATTTTTAAAGTTGGATTTTACTAAATTTATTTATTTATGTATTTAAAGATTTTTAATGCTTTATTCTCTATTTTCATAATTAACTTAATTTTGTAGTGCTTTTGCCTTTTGAAGAACATAATGGCTTTTGGACCACTTGTCACCACATGAGAAGCATTAAGCAGGTTTTTTTGTTTTCTGCAGGTATTTGACTGATTTGTAATTCTGTGCTACTATTTTAGCAGTAACTCACTCTCTCCCTCACCATGCTAAGTCAGCACGTTCGTGGTTTGTTCTTCTGAGACCAGATAACTGCTTTTACAAAACAGCTAAAAGCTACCGTGGCAGCTGTTATCTTGGAGAGGCCAGCAATTCCATGCTTTACTCACCTGCAAGATCATTCGTAGTGATTACAGTTGTAAATATTCTTGCTGTAAATTGAATGAATTCTGGTTAGTGGACTAGATACGACATGTTTATACCTTCAAAAAATGAAATAGTCTATTTTTCAACCAAGGATAATCTTGCATGAAAACATACATTGTATAGACATTCCCACTTTTAGTGCATCCACTCTTCACTATTGTAGCTTCAGAGACCAAGCTCTCAAAGCTGAGCAGCACTGTATTAAGGGTCTTTTTAAATGAGAAAATCACTGATAGAATTTTTATCTCTCTCTCTCACTAAATTGGGTGTGGCCAGAGTCTATTGCTTCTCTTTCTGTTCAGCTCCCTCCTTCAGTACTTGACTCTGAGCTACACCCACACTCGAGTTAGCATGACTTAACCACTGTGAATGTTCACATGCATGCTTTTAGGCTTCTCCAGATATAAGGAATTCAGCTTTCCTTCCCACGACAAATCTAAACATTAATTATTTCACATTTGCAGCAGACTAAAACCATTTACAAAGTTTATTGCTATTGTTCAGTGAACATACCACAGCTTCTAATTACTGACTTAAAAACATTTGTTTCATGGGGAAATCTAGATGATCTTTAAGGTCCTTTCCAACCAAACCAGTCTATGAAATAGATCCAGCATCATTATGTTTTATAGTAAGAATATTTTAAACAAGTTTTGTGAATATGACAGAGGCACTTCTGACAAATAGCTGTAGAACTGTTCACCCACACCACTAGGTAATCAACACATCAACTGCACAAATCATTCTTCTTGGTAAGTTCTTAAATTCTCCTCTCTTGAGAAATGTATTTACATGTAGTCAGAGTTAAAGGTATTTAGCATTAAGTGTGTATTTATTTGTAGATGACTTTTCAGAATTAGCATTGTCTAACTCAAAATTTAGCACCTTTTCATACTGGATCACTAGTAATTTTATTAAATCCTAGAACACTGAAATCTCTTCTTCGTAAAGACACTCCTTCAGTTATTTCAACTGTACGGGGTTCCTTTGACCATATTTGCATGTTTTCTAAGTTAAAATGTCATTGTGACTGAGCTGGTGTTAATGATAAAACTTGATTTCCAGAGACTGTGTGGTATCTGAGTCTCAGAAGTTGGCACTAAGAGAAACTACATTAGGTAAGATTTTTACCTACAACGATTGAGTAAAGCCCTATTGAAAGAGGCATTGGAGGAGATATGGCTTTAAAAAAGGAAAACTCAGTGCTTCATACCAAGTTGCCCCCAGCTTACTTGCGCAGGTGTATGCAGACATACTCCAGGTCAAGGCGCTCACTTGTCCAGAATCTTTTGTCTGCCAGAGACACCGCAGCTGAGCCAGCTTACTGGCTGCACTGATGAGCGTGCACAAATTCTGAAAAGCAGGCAAAAAAAGAGAAAGAACCTCTGCCTTGGCCACTGTATTATCCGAGTGTTTAGCTTACGGCTGTTAGTATGTAACTTACTAAAAACCAGGACTAGCTGTTTCATTTAGAATAAAAAGAAAAATACATACTTTCTCAACCCAAGCATTTCAGCTTCTTACTAAGGAACCATGAAGCAAAAAAATTGAAGTAGACAGAAGCAAGAGACCAATTTCTGAGGTACTGCCCAGAATGAAGCTCAAAGAGCACAATTGCTACTGCTGTTGGCAAATGCTAGATAGAGGCAAATACAGTAAGAAGCAAAGAAACAAAAAAGCCTCTCAACCTGCTACATAAAACTGTTTATGAAAGTTAGCTAAAATGAGACTAATCTAGTCTAAACAGCAAGGTTGATTCAGACCATCTGTTACCATTATGTCTGGCAAACAAAACCATAAAAGAATGAGAAAACTGACAAGAATGTGTAGAAAATGAGTCCAATTGGTGGGAAAATGCAATGAAGGGAACAGACTATTCACCCTGTCATCCTTTTAAGGGGGATTTTGTAAAGGCAGCGGGTAGAGGGGACCTCCACGCGGGTCTCTGTGGCACGCCCAGATTTCCCTTACAAGTAAGGATTGCTGTTAAGCTTAGAAGCTTTTATCCCCGTTTGTATCGTCTTTTGCATTAGCAACTCCAGTTCATCTCAATAAAATTTTAACTTTCTCTTTTCTGATTAAGAAGGCCAAAGACCATCTTTAACCTATATAGGGCATTATCAGATGATACCTTTTTTGCAAAATTGTAGGACTAAACGGATAAAAGATCTTGTGAAATACTTAACATTCCCTATTTCAAATGCTTTGACTGATGCTCTATTCTTTTCCTGTCTTGTTAAAGGTTTCTTAATGGGGTTATGACATTAGGACTAAAGAGGCAATCTTTTTTCAACATCTTAAACCTTTGCTAGTTTTAATTGAGGCACCACAATTAACAACTTTACCTCAGGACACTTTTTTTTCCCTTCATAGGGTCTCTGTTACCACTGCTTTGTTTTCCAGCTACTCACAGAAGTGAAGCAGCTGTATTTGAAAACTTGGGTTGTTCTGAAAGCTAACCCAAAATGATTAATTCTTCCAAGGACAAATATAAGGAGATATTTCACTGATCAAGATGTCCAGAAAAAAGTTATTTCATATACAGACCTACTTTCAAATCATCATGCAGCACTTACCATGGCCAGGTCTATTATCCACTTCCGCAGTGTTAGCACGTACCAGCCCCCCCCAAATCTTATCTTATGTTAAGTTTTATAGCACTGAAAATTCTAGGATAGTGCAGCTCTCAAAAGTGCCTGGAGAATTAGATTTTTTTTAAACATCTGGAAATAATCTTATTGAAACTTTATAACAGACCATACAACCTAGATAAAATATATTAAGCACTGGTTGAAATACTAAGTGTTCCTATTTTTCACACTCTTTGGTTGAACAGTGCCTGGACTTTCTCAATAGCTGCTCCAAAGCACAAGACTTGAGATTTAAGCCCAAATCCTATTTTAATGCACGCATAGGAATCAAAGAAAAAAGAATAATCATTTCCACCCTGCATCTCTTGCAAAGATGTAAATTAAGAATTGGTCTTACTCCTTATCAGCTGTGGGTCTTCTAAAGCATAGCTACATATAAAGCTTACTTCTTGTAGAGATTTTACTGTGATCCCAGAAATCAGCATGTGAATGTGGAATGCATGGCGAGGGGAGGCTGAAAATGATTTACAACGGTAGCACAAAACAAATGATGACATAGCTGCTATGCAAAAAACTACCAAACAAGCTACATAAACCAAAATTCCCAGATTTCAAAGGATACGTGACTGCATAGAACAAAGCTTGTTTCATGTTTCCACTGAAACGTAGAATAAACAAAAGGAGAATGACATCTGAAATAAATAAAAGATTGCTCATCAGAGAGGGGAGAGAAGGGGCCCAAATGCACTCCTAGACAGTTCCACTGGGCACCATGTCTACGGAAACTGGTTTCTTACAGGTTTTGTCTCTCAAATTTGATTGATGTCCAAAACACTGCAAGCTCCAAAATGAAGATTTTCTTACGAGTCTGGAGTGTTTATAATGTTTCTCTCCCACACGAGTCACTGGATAAAGGATGAACTTACACTGCAGCTCCCCTCTGTGTGCGTATTAATTTGATCTTTCTCCTCTACCTCACCATCTTTTTTCATAAATGTGTAAGAATTCAATTACATTTGAGATGTTCATTCCCCTCTTCCCCCCAACTCCATCTAGTATTGGTCAATGGATTCACATCACTGCAGTGGAGTACCCTACCTACAGGCAGAGCCTTGGAGTGCTGAATGAGCCCTGTTTTATTTTCAAAACATGGCTTAAAAAAATTACCTTGTGCAACGATGATGGGATATTCCAGGTATGTCTGCAGAGGGTAACCATAATAGATCTGGTACCTCAGAAACACAAGGAAGCTGAACAGAAAGACAAAACAGCGTGACTGCACGAAGAGACAGGACAGCTCCTTCACAACTACTTTTTTACTGTTTTAGTTGGGCCAAAACGCTCCAGATAGGTGTAGCTGTCAAACTGATCAAACAAAGATGAAGAAAAAGTGCAAGCCTGATGATTCTGTGGTCTATTTCTGTTACCCTCAAATTGAATAAGATGTAGAGAGCTGCTCACACTTCTTGTCAAGGTCTTTGTGTCACAGTGTGTAAGGCATAACTTTATTAATTACAACTGATGAGAAGGGAAGAAAGGCTTCCAGACCTAGAAGATACCTTCTCTTTGCGATTGTCTTGGGATCTCTGGGATAACTCTGATTTCTTTATTTATGTTTGTAGTTCAATCTACACATTATGCAAGTTTTACAGGAGTAGAAAACATCTTCCAAGCAGTCTACACTACACTGTTACAAGACTGTCCAGTGTAGCTGTACTGGTCAGACTGAGAGTCTGTTCTTAAGTGCACCAAACAACGGCAATTCTCCTTCCTGCTGTTCCACAATATAGTGTCTAAAAGGAATTGAGCTTTTATCACATTCTGTTTACTTTCTTCAACTTTCATGCAAGTCCATGGGGTTAGACAGAAACTTCAAGGCTCCAGAGAAAACAGAAAGGATTCTTAGGCCATAGTTCTACATAAGGAAAAATTGATGGTTCCGGTATAGAATGATGGCATAAGGAACTGCCTTGTAAGAAACTAGCTTTTACAGTATTCAGAATTTAAATATCTGAACTTTCTCAGTCTTATTTCTTGTAGGGTCAACTTAGACTCCTTGCCATCAGCACCATGCTTCTGTGTCACTGCTCTGCCAGGTCACTGCATGTTCACTCTGGCAGAACCATCCCAGTTTGCACCAGTAGCCCCAAAGCTCTCTGCAGCTGGACTCAAAGACTTTAAAGGTTGCAGGGTAAATAGTCCTACTAAATAAACAGTCCCAATAAATGCGCAGAACCTGCAGCAGTGTGGGTGCTGTGGTTATCACGTAGGTACTGAGGACATATTTATGATTCTCCATGCTCCTCTGAAACATTACTTATAAAGCCTTTTCAGTGCACACCAGCACACATGGATGATTTTAAAATGTTACCATCTCTTTTCGGCTGGGGCTGTGGGTTAAGCTATCTCTGCTGGAACTGGAATTTAGTTCACTTACTCTGAGGTGTATTAAGGGTAAACAGCAACGAGAGAGGCTCAGCACCATGGAGGAATGTGGGCAGCAAACAGCCACAGCGGAGACCAAGGGGATTCTGCACAGCTATGTGCCGACAGGTGTCTGTATGCCGAAGTGTCCGCAGTGCCAGGCCGGGGTCAACAGCCGTGCCCCTAACTGAAGATGAGGCACAGGTGCGTTCAGAAATGATATGCCATTTTTGTGAGGTGATTTTTCTAAATAAAAAGCCCTTTTTTAGCTTGGTGTGAAGAGCTAGCAGCCACCTGGCTGGATGTTCTGGCACCTCCATCACTGGGTTCAGCACATACAAGGCTCTTCAAGGTATTTTCTCTCACATGCTTGCACCCACATTTGAATGTACATGCATGCGGCTCCTCTATTTATTTTTCATTCCATACAATCCTCTTTAAGTAAGATTTAGTAAGTCTAGCCCATGTAAGCTCATTACAGACCAACAAATCTTTTGAGTTTGACATGGTTTGTAATTTTCTTAAAGAATGATTATGTTTTACTTATTGGGTGAGAGAAGCCTGTCTGACGGGTACAATTACCTGCACAACAGGGCACACGGACCATTTAATAACCTAAATACACGGCTTAAACTCAACAGTAGGTGTTGTCTCCAGCTACACGGGTGGCCCGGGGTGGTTTTGGGCAAGTTAAAAAGCCCGAGTTTCCCTTTAACCCACGGTGCGGGAACACTTTGAAATAGGAAGTTTCTGCTCCGAAGAGGGTGTACGCGCAGAGAAGGCAGGA